TTCGAGGCTCGTCACCAGGGCGCTCCGCACGGCGGCCTCGTCGACGCTCCTCCGCTGCGATCCCGTCGGCGGGCCCCATCCTTCCTCGGGCGAGCCAACCCTCCCCAGTGGGGTCTTCGTGCTCCGACTGGCGGTGGGGGGGGGGCCCTCCCAGACGGAGCTGCCGTGGGCCGTCCACGGGGTGAGGTAGACGATATGAGAGGGGGTGCGCACCATCCCAGGGAGCAGGCTATCCTCCCGCTCAAGACCGTTCGGGTGGGAGACCTCGAGGCCGGGCGGTCGCGTCACGTTCTCGACATTCATGGAGTCGATGGCAGGGGGTGGGTGCGGACGGGGAAGAGTCACCTTGCACAGTGGGGTGTGATAGTGTTTAGGTAGAAAAAAAGAGTGGAGGGCCCCACAAGCTTTATGGATTCGTGTTTCGCGTCTTGTGGTGTTGATGAACTGTTTATTTTCCTTTTTTGGTTTGTTTAAATATTACAGAGATGTTAGGCTAGCAAATGATACACTTTTCGAATGGTACAGTCTAAACAAAAATTGAAATGTTATAATCAAAATTCAAGCAAAAATGGAAAACGAAGAAATCTTAAGCTTCAAAAGCTTCTAAAGATACTTCGAATGATATTTTATGGCCTTAAAATGGAAATGGATCGAAGAAAAGGGAAATATTTAGTCGTTCTCTACAGTAAGCATAATCCCACGTGCTTAACTTACGTGAAACGAAGAGTCGTGAAGAAATGAGGGATATGAATTATACGAAAAGGTGAGGGCAGCATTAATAACAAAAAAAAACCAACATCACAGTTGGAAGAGTATTTTTAAACGCCATATTAATGTATTTTACAGGTGAAAAACATTATCGAATGCGAGCCATCTCCCTTCGCTATTATTATTGATTTTTTTTTTTTTGAACGCTCATGGATTTCTTTCTATGGTATACTCCCGAGCACCGCAGTCCTTCTGTGGTCTCCCCACTCATTTCGCCCCCCCTCTCCCTTGCCTTTGGTTTATCCAAGGGCGAGGACACCCATCGCGGTTACACGGCCCTGGCAGTTCGCGCTCGTTACGTAGCTAAGCGCGACGCTATCCTCACCCTCTGGGGTTTGCATGAAATCCATCGTCCAGTCAATCACTACTCCTGCTGAGTCGATCGAGAAGAGGGTGCGGCCCTCGCGCGCGAGCGATTTGATGCGCGCGGTGTGGCGTAGCGGATGTTTTTGGCGGGCGTTCGTCTCCTTCGTCAGGGCGGCGGCGTCGCGCGTTTGCTGCTCATCCTCGTAGCGAATCTCGACAGGCCGCAGCGCGATGGCGACGGCGCCACTCACCTCCGTTTGAGGGGCGGGAAGCGTGGCGTAGAGCAGCTGCCCCGCCTCATTCCCGACCACCACCACCCCCTCAGAGGCGAAGACGAGGCTGTGGAGCTCCTCCTCCGGCTGAGGCCGCTCCAGCCGCACGACGAAGGCCGCCTTCATCGTCGTGGTGTGGTAGACGACGACGGAGAAGCGGCTGCGCACCGCCCAATACCCTCCGGACGGGGAAAAGCACACCGAAAGCGGTTCTTCCTGTTGGTGAATCCCCCACACAGGGCGACGGCCGCGCTCCCGCGGACGTTCCCCCTCCCCTTCTCCCTCATTTTCCTTCCCGCCCAGGGCGCTGGTGTACTTCCACTTCGTCATCAGCCGATGCCGCGCGAGGTCGAGCACCGCGACGCTGCGGTCCTCGCCGATCGTCACGCAGAGCGCGCCGTGGCTGCGGGGGTGGAGGGCGAGCTGCTGGAGGGCCTTCGCGTGGACGGGAAGCCGCACCCGCAGCCCCCAATCCCGCGTGCGGTAGACCAGCAGCTGACCGTCCGCGCAGCCGCAGAGGAGGTGGTGCGCGTCGGCGGTGAAGGCCGCACAGCGGACCTCCGCAGGGGGGCTCACGCTGCCGAGCTCCGCGAGCCGCACCGCCCGCCCCCCCTCTGCTCCGCCGCCTGGCCGCGCGTAGAGTTTATTCGTGAAGAGAAACACCCGCTCGTCGACACCGCAGCTCGCGACGTACTTCGCACTCACGGCGACGTCGTTCATACACCCCACATGGTGTTTTACCGAGAAGGTGATGTAGAAGGCGCCTTTCTTGAGCACCAGCCCCGCCATCACGGAGTGGTAGGTGCCCACAACGAGGAGGGCATCGCGGCAGACCTCCTCGGTTGCATTCGGAGAGGCTTGCGTTTCGATCTGGGGGGTTGTTGAGGCCCCTTCCGGCCCCTCCTTCACTCTTTTCGAGCGCTTGCCGCGAGTGGGGTCGCTTTTGGCATCACGACGCCTCTTTTCGTTGCGCGGGCTGCGTTCCATTAGGAGAGGAAGGCGAGCGGTGAAGGTCACCTTTTTTTTTAAAAACCTCGTTTCGCTTAATGTGCGACTAGGGGGTTGCAATCCGAGTAAACGATTTATTGAAATAACTAAGCGGTGATGCGAGAATAAAAACGAAGGATTTCAGAAGAACATAATAATAATAGTCATAATGATAATAATAGCAGCACTAATAAAAATAACAGTGAAAGACATAAATATTAGTGTAAATACGTATGTTAACACAACTCAACACCTTGATAAACATACCCATAACAGATCTCTGACTTGGGAATAGTTTATTTTAGTGCGGTTTCGTACGTATATCCTGATGGCTTTTTTTATTTAGCAAGGAATTTAAGCAATAATTAAACATAAGGGAGACGATCTGTAAATGATTTAGAAATCCTTCTTTTTGTGTTCACAGTGGTAACAGAGTTGTAACTTCCTAAATAAAGCGACTAGATTTTACATAAGAAGGACAATACAGTAATGCAAAATAATGGTGTCACATAATCAAAGGAAATAAGCATCAAATATGGAAATAAATGAACCAAAGATATGGCCCACAAGCACAAAAAAGTGATGATGCATTTATCTCCTCAGATAGCACCAGCAATAAACAATCGTTCAACAGAGTTCTTCCCTATAGAAAAGCGTATTTTTCCAGCATACAGAGTGATTCCTCCCTACCTTGTTGCAAAATTAGAGGAATATGAGTGTCTTGTGGGTGAGTGGAGGGACAAATTTAGACAACTTTTTCCATGAGGTGGAAGAATTCTCATTGATACAATTTTTTGATTCTTTAATTTGTCCTTCATACTTAATTTAACCTTTTCTGCTCTTTATGTTTCTTCTAGACATTTCTTTTTCTTACTTTCGACATGATCACGAGCACAAAAAATGTGCCGCTGTATCGTCAACATCATCTGTGTCAAAAATATATTGGCTTAGGAGCCAAATGTGGCTCAAATAAATAAGTAAATATTCATGCAATACTTAACAAAAGATAAATACTAAGCATTTGATAAAGTTCTACACCAACCAATGGTACCATTTCACATTAATACCTTTATCTTTTTTTTCTCATTCCTTTCAGTATAGAAAAACTTTTATACATAGGAGTCTTGCGAGTTATAGCCTTGTGGCAATGTATATATATATATATATATATATATAATAAATATACAATAATGTCTTCCTTTCGTA